TGAGACCACGTTTTTAATTTAAAAACTTTGTCATTTTATCGCGCCTTTGTTCGCACGTTTTGAGCACTTTTTTCCTTTTTTGCCCTTCACGCAAATTTTGCATTTTGCCAATCGCGCCTCCGGTATCGCGCATTTTTTTGGCCTTTCAAGCCTGCGTTATTTTTGCCATTTTGTCGTTTTGCTAATTTTGCCTCATGGCGCTTTTGCCGCTAGAGCGCTGGCGAACAACACCGTAATAAAGTCTGGAGTACGTGAGCGGTGCCAAGTACTGACAAAAAGCCGAAGCGAGCATTTTATGATACTTTTAGTGATGCTATTTTCACAGGCGAATGCTCAGTTGAGATTGAACGTTATCCTCGCCGATCCTTCTGCAGAGTTGGCGAACAACACCGTAATAAAGGTCAACCAACACATCGATGTTTTGTTTTGTTTTGTTTTCTCTTCATGCGGAAACCTTTCAATCCCAGTCTAACTCAACTCGTCCATCCATTTNTTTATGATACTTTTAGTGATGCTATTTTCACAGGCGAATGCTCAGTTGAGATTGAACGTTATCCTCGCCGATCCTTCCGCAAAGTTGGCGAACAACACCGTAATAAAGGTCAACCAACACGTCGATGTTTTGTTTTGTTTTCTCTTCATGGGGAAACCTTTCAATCCCAGTCTAACTCGACTCGTCCATCCATTTCCTTATTTGGACATAATTTGGGCTTGTTGTAAATAACAAAATGGCCGTGATGAACACGAAATGGACAAGAAGATGCAGGGAACTTGTTTGCTTAGTGCGTGTGAAAAGAAATAAAAAAAGACATAAGATGAATCGTTCTGTCATTTTCTCAAGATTGCCGGGCTGGACAAAAATTGGACAAACGTGTGTTTAAAGTTACAGTTTCCAAATCCTTGGTAAGCACCCTGATAGCGATATATAGCGTAACTTACTAGCATGTGGCGTTCTGTTATAGTTTGCGTTCTGGAGAACGCTTTTCTCCATTTTTGTGATTCCATTTTTGTGATTCAAAAGAGCTCCTTTAACAATAATTTGCAACGCTTTGCCTTGCGAAACCTGTATTATGATNTTTTAACTTCTTAGTGTGAACAATTCAATTCAAGAAGGTGTCTCCAAAGTGCACCTAAATTTTGCTTTAAAATGGTGGGATTCTTTCATTTGTGATTGTATCTGTCAAAAAAATATGATTGAAAAACTAGCGGGAGACCACGTTTTTAATTTAAAAACTTTGTCCTTTTATCATGCCTTTGTTCGCACGTTTTGAGCACTTTTTTCCTTTTTTGCCTTTCGTGCAAATTTTGCATTTTGCCAATTGCACCTCCGGCATCGCGCATTTTTTTTGCCTTTCAGGCCCACGCTATTTTTGCCCTTTTGTCGTTTTGCTAATTTTGCCTCGTGGCACTTTTGCCGCTAGAGCGCTGGCAAACAACACTGTAATAAAGGCTGGAGTACTTGAGCGGTGCAAAGTACTGACAAAAAGCCGAAGCGAGCATTTTATGATACTTTTAGTGATGCTATTTTCATAGGCGAATGCTCAGTTGAGATTGAACATTATCCTCGCCGATCCTTCCGCAAAGTTGGCGAACAACACCGTAATAAAGGTCAACCAACACATTAATGTTTTGTTTTGTTTTCTCTTCATGGGGAAACCCTTCAATCCCAGTCTAACTCGACTCGTCCATCCATTTCGTTATTTGGACATAATTTGGGCTTGTTGTAAATAACAAAGTGGCCGCGATGAATACGAAATGGACAAGAAGATGCAAGGAACTTGCTTGCTTAGTGCGTGTAAAAAGAAATAAAAAAAGACATAAGATGATTCGTTCTGTCATTTTCTCAAGATCGCCGAGCTGGACAAATATTGGACAAACGTGTGTTTAAAGTTACATCGTTTCCAAATCCTTGGTAAGCATTCTGATAGCGATATATAGTGTAACTTACTAGGATGTGGCGTTCTCTTATAGTTTGCATTCTGGAGAACTCTTTTCTCCTTTTTTGTGATTCCATTTTTGTGATTCAAAAGAGCTCCTTCAACAATAATTTGCAACGCTTTGCCTTGTGAAACCTGTATTATGATTAAGGAAGCTTACATTCGGAATTGAACCAACTCAGTTTGCTGGACTCGGAATAAAGGCAAATTATGCAAAAAGCCAAAAGGGCGCGATGTTTTTGCTGGCGTGAAAGGCAAAAGCAAAAACCACCAAAAGGAGTAACATGCGCGATTTTGGCAAAAAGTAAAATTTGCCAAAAAGGCAAAAATGGCAAATTGCGCCTGCAATGGGCGCGATAAGAATAGCGTAAAATACGGCCCGATGTGTTATGCTACTTGCGAAGATTAGAATGGAGAGTATGTGTGATTTTGACTCCTTACAAGAAAGGCACAAGCACTTTTGAGACGTAGCTAAGATGGAAGGAAACTACATGAAAATCACTACAAGGTGGTGCTAATTTGAAGAGAAAAAAATTAATAACCTGTGAATTACAGCATTTCTAAAACAAATTTTTGTCCGATTTTTGCTAATTTTGATTTGTACACCAACATCGTGCGCGAGGCCATTACTGATCAGAAGAAACCTAACAGGGAATGCTTGACAGAACGTGTTCTGTTTCCGTTCCACACGCATTCCCATTCCCGTTCTGTATCTGTTCTGTATGTGTTCTGTATCAGTTCCGTTCCTGTTCTGTATCGGTTCTGTGCTCTTCTGGTCCGGTTCTGTTAACGTTCCATCAGTAAGCGTTCTTGGAACTTGTTTAGAAGAACGAGGTTTCAGAGAACTTGTTTGCAAGATTAGCAACACTCATTTGCATTTCATGAAATAGGTTAAAACTGTCGCCTTTATGCGAGAATATGAAGAGTAAATTTAAATTTTCGGGGTGAAAATATGAGTCCAGTTACTTGAAAAATATGGGAAGATGGTATTGTGACTTCAAGGCCAGTTTATAAATAGTAAGTCTTTTTCCGAAACGATACAAAGCGATCGGTAGTCTGTGTGATTTCCCGAGGAAGGAAGCAGTAAACCAGCTTGCCAAGCACTTTTAACCCAATCGATGAAAATATGCAAGCAACAGACAAACTTTCAGCTCTTGTATTTACACGAATACTTTTAGTGAGATTTAACATTGAAGTATCACTGAAAACTGTGCGGCAAATGCGGCAGAAACTCGGCTGGAGGACGGGAGCGGTACAAAGTACTGACAAAAAGCCGAAGCAAGCATTTTGTGATCCTTTTACTGATGTTATTTTCACAGGTGAATGCTCAGTTAAGATTGAACGTTATCCTCGCTGATCCTTCCGCAAAGTTGGTGAACACCACCATAATAAAGGTCAACCAAATCAACGATGTTTGGTTTTGTTTCTCTTCATGAGGAAACCTTTCAATCCCAGTCTAACTCGACTCATCAATCCATTTCCTTATTTGGACATAAGTTGAGCTTGTTGACAATAACAAAATGGTCATGATGAACACGAAATCGACAAGAAGATGCAGGGAAGGTGCTTGCTTAGTGCGTGTAAAAAGAAATAAAAAAAGGCACAAGATGATTCGCTCTGTCATTTTCTCAAGATTGCCGGGCTGGACAAAAATTGGACAAATGTGCCGCCACAGTGGCAGCCCCGATGTGGAAACTGTGGTTAGAGAAGTTGCCTGGAATGTTTGCGGAGGCCAGGATCTTCCAAAGCCAGTCCGCGAGCAAAGCACACAAAAGAGGCCACCCATTCTGGAACAGGAGCAAAGGACCTGGAATGTCGCCCCTGCTAGCGAGATATGCCATCACTGAGTGGACTGCACAGAGTGGGGACCAGCCAAGGTCAATGTGGATAAAGGCACCTTTCCTAAATGGATCAGTCTTTGAGCCCTTGATCTTTACACGCATGCACGTGGGCGCAGACGGGGAATCCACTGCAATGTCTTGCACTCCTAAATGAAGTGATGGAGAGAAGCTAGCCAGACTGGGCACTGTGAACTCTGAGGTGCAGAAAAAGCCAAAGTACCCAAGGGAGCAAGAACTTGAGGTGATCTGAGAGACGAGGACCCAGAGACTGCCAAATCAGTAACATCAAGTCATCGGTACTAGGCAAGCGGGATGAAGATGAGGAGCCCTGACAGTACTTGATACCGCAGACCACCCTCTGACAGCAGAGACAGTTGGCAAGGGGGTCTGGAAACCCCTGTTCAATGTGGAGTGCTCTAATGCTGGACAAGTAGACCTTAATGGAGGAGTGCTGAATTCGTTTGGCCAAGAAGGTAGCAAAAAGGCACAGCGTCCATTCGTCAGCTGGACATGGAGAACCGGAGGAATGGAGCTTACCTAGTTGAGTGCAGAAAGAGATAAACTGTGCTTGGGCCGATTCATAAGATCGACACGTAGAGGGGGCAAGGCCTTGGGTTGAGAAGGAGTGGCACTGCTGTTCTAGGGCAGAGATGTCAAATCTGCCAGGAGTTCGAGGGGTACCAAAGTAAGAAGAGGCTGTGCATCTGGG